CGTCGAGCTAAAACCCATGTATTCGGATTAGTTTCCGAATTTCCAGGCTTACACGGCGTGAGCTTCCCACTGTGTGCGCGGAAGAGACGCGGAAGGGCGGTGGAAGAGATGCGGAAGGGCCAGTAACCAAAAACATTGATCGAAAACCAGTGATAACTTGTGTGTAGATTTATAATGGGCGCAGAAGTGCACGGAAGGTTTGAGGAAGAGCGGCGGAAGGGCAGTTTTCAGGACCCCCATGTGTCTTCCAGGTGCTTTCGGCTGCATGCTTGCTTTTGGGGCATATTGGTTTGTAAGGAATCCAGCGTTGTGTATCGTTCATTCGCTAGTGGAACCATGTGTGATTGTTGTGTTTTCTTCTGACTGAAGGGGGCTGGAGCCCAGGTAGCGGTTCCGTTCCCCGGATGGGACCTGCTGTATTCGTCGATTCGGAGCTCCAAATATTGAGAGACGCCGATTGGTCCAAACAGGAGGTATCCTGAACGCCCATATTTCGGGCCAACTCTGAACGCTATGAGAGACTTTTGTTGCTTCCCTTTTAACGGGTGAATTTCCCATTAGACACAAACTCGTAGACTTGTCTTGAAACAAGCTGAAAAGTACGACACTGCCGCGGAATTTGTCCAAATCTGCTTGGCACCATGAGTTTGGTCCAATTTTCCAGGGTTTCATCCATCCGGACTGGTTGTAAGGGTTTGTTTATTACACCCTGGAATTACACCCTTGATAAATGACCCAGAATCGTTCAAAAGCACACGGTTCTATCCAGAAATGTGTGGGTGTATTCCCAGGACTGTGATACAAAAACCCTTAGACTGGTACATTTTGTACAGATGTTGCCCCAATCCCCCCCCCCCCCGCTTGAACCTACCCCCTCACACTGCGCCAGGCGACCTGGACTTGCCTTTGCTGCAGCATGCGCCGCAGTCGGAGGCGCCGGCCCGCCTGGCGAGTGCCCGCATACCTGGCCTTTCACCGCGAATCGTCGCAGCCCAGTTATGGTTAAGCCGTTGGTGTTGGGCAAAATGTGCTCAAAGAAACCGCCCTTTTGTTCTAAAGGGAAGCCAACGATACCACGGATTGGGTCGTGATCTCCTTGCATGTACGTATTTCTTTGCTTTGGATGCTGTGTTTCTTGCCTTGTGTGTTTGGTTTGCATGGTTTGCATGGTGTGTCTTTGCCTTTTTCGGAGGCTCGCCTTGGTTTCACGGAGGTCAAAGGCAAGCTGCCGTCCATCTCTGCTGTTCAAAGCGCGATTGACATGCCGCCAAAAAGTGCAACCGTGTGGTTGCAGGCAAAGCCTATGGGACCCGCCGGTGGGAATTCCCAAAGGTTTGGGCATTTCGGCAAGTTTGGGTCTGTTTGTTGTGGTTCTTCAGGCTGTCAGGTTCTTCACCATTTGGGTCGGTTCTTTGTTTCTTCGGGCTACCATTCGGCTTGGTTTTGAAGGGACAACCTCCAGAAATTGTCCTTACGCATCTCTTTTTTGGAGTTGGTAGGGTTAGCACCTTTGTGCTGGTTTCAAAGCGAGGCCAAGAGAACGGAAGCCAATTGGTCCCCGGCCCTAAGACGAGCCTCACGGGGCTGGCGGACAGGATGCTTTGCACCTCTCGCGCCGAGTGCTGCTGCGGGGGCTCTTCCGAAGACAGGCCGGCGTGGATGTGGGGTGGCTCCTCCAGCGGGCTTCTGGTGACAGGGTGTGGTGCTTCATGTTTTGTTGCCGGGACTTGACGGTTACTGGTTCACTATTTTTCGCTCAAGACAATGTGTGGGTTTCCCCAGCCACATACCTGGGCTTTGGTTCGCGTTGGAAAGAGAGGAGCGGAAAGCTCCGAAAAAGCTGGTCAAATGAGGCGCTTCAGAAGGCGCGGGCCGCTTTCAACTGAGGGGCCAGCTATTTGGCCTGGTCTTATCCAATGCCAAAGCAGGATGCCGAAGGGGCATTTTGGATATGCCAAGCTCCCCCCCGCACCAAAAAGAACGAGCGCGCGAAGCTCGCCCCGAAGCTCGCATGCCAGCATGCTGGCGTGGAGAACGACGTGCCCACCATTCTCAGACTCTGGGCTCGGGGCTCACTCGTCCGGCTTGGCCGTGCAGCGGACCGCCATTGTTTGTTGTGAAGCCAAAGGGACACCAACAGATGCCAACCGTTTTCTTACTTCCCCAGTTCCTGAATGTTAAGCTTTTTTGGATGACCATTTGAATGGTAAACAGTAAACTAAACACAAAGTTTGAACTTTCTCCGGCCAATCTACTCGGGAAGTCAGTTTTAGCCACTATGTTGACAATCCCCTTCCCCATATGGGCAGGTGTCAAAATAGCGGTACCCCTACATTAATTGCATATTTGATTTCCTTTGGGATTCCCTTAAAATCTTTGAACCGACCCGCTCACTGGAAGCCTATTATTGGTTTAGGAGGACGGGGGGGTCATCTATTTGTTCAAAAAAAGCAGGGCAAAGACCACCAAAGTTTCCCAAATGCCCTCTTGGGGAAACAAGTAGGTTCATATTTCAACATACTCAAGCAGCGATGCCTTGTTATCATGCATTCCCAGTAGAACCAGCTAATTGTAAGGGCATCACTTTCCAACATAATCCTGTGCATTGAAACAGCACCGTGGATCTATTCTTGGTAACACCTATAGCACAAGATACACGGCGCAATTAATGCTGTTGGGATGCGTGTTGCACTTATTTTACTGGACATGTTCAAGTCCTTCGCGATGCAGTGGGCTTTGTTTGGCTTTTCTTAACAGAGAGGAGCTCCAAAGTTTGTGTTTTCCTGCTTGTTTCCCCTTAAAACCATCCAAACGGGGTGGCCCGTTTGATGAATCTGTCCTGCTCCCTTCAGGTCCTGCACATTTCTACAGGCCACACCAAAAAGAAGTGGTCGACGGAGATGGTTGCGGAAAAAGAAGAAAAAAAACGACCAAAAAAAACAATCCCCATTCTACAAACATGGGGAGCCAAGAAGCACGCTTTATTCGAGTCGAAGCCTGGTGGTCAAGCGAAAAGAGTTCCAACTGACAGTTGCCACATGGGATGTGTCAAAATAGGGATTGCGGATTGCACCGAAACTGGTGAATTTCCTGTTGGTATCCCATTAAGCCAACCTGAAACATATGGTATTCTCAGAGAAACATGGACCCAGTTGATTCGATTTGTGTCAAGATGCTACTAAGGTCAGAAGCAAAAGGATCCATGTTTGTCATCAGCTTCTGGAAGGTGTAAGTTTTCTACACAACTCCAGCAGGAACTTCAGCTTTGGCGATCTTTGGCAGTCTCCATTTGTATCGCGACCGGCAATTCGAGATCTTAGGCCCTGGGACGATGGCCATCTTGCAGAGATGCGGCTCTCATTTCGGAGGCATTGTCGAAAATTGTCGCTTCAAGCGGGTGGCTTAAACAGTAGTGACTGGGGTAGACTTAGGATACATTTTTACATTTTACCAGTGGCTCAAAAGGAAGCTAATAATAGAATATTCATTCTATAACGGGGCCTAAGTCCAATCATGGAAAGTTGTGGCTTCAAACTGGTGGCTTAAACAATAGTGAGGTGGAAACATGTTGAATCAGGGGGGCTGAATCGCCCAACTCTCATGGCTGTTGAACATGGGCCTCTGGGGCCGCTTTCTGTGGATGGACAAAATCCAACATCCTGCGCCGGGCATGGATGAAACCCTATGCAGGGAAAGCCACTGACCCCCTGGTGCGGGATTTTGTCCATCCAGACCTCCCTGAAAGTCACACTGAAAAACTTGGCTCTTGAAGGCAACAAATTCCAACTCCGTCCTGGCTCCAATACGACACAAGGCTTTGGGTTCAGCGAGCTTTGCATCTGGAGGCCTTGAAATCAGATGAGTCACAATCAAAACCTAGGTGAAGGTTAGAAAGGGACAATCCTATAAATAGCTGCGGAATTCCGCCTTAGTTCTTTACATGGTTCTGGGTCGACCATTTTTGTACCGATCGGTTTTGAGCAAGTGCCTCAGCTGGAACTTCTAACTGCTGCGAGGCCTTCAGCTTCATGTGCATTTGCTGGCGATCCATGCGTGCCAGCAAAGCCCAAGGCGGGACCCGTGGGCCGAGTGTCGCAAGCGACAGCTCGTGTTCGTGTTGATGTGGCCGCGCAATAGTGGGGGGGGGGGGGGTTGGGGTGGGGGTTGTGTCCTGCTCCCAGCTCGAATGACCCAGGGATTCTAATGGGTTCCATCCGGATGTTGCACACCTGATTATCCTGAGCGATCGCCACCCATGTCTTAGGAGTTCTACTTGGGTCTGAGTTGGGTTCCATGGCATCCATGGCATCTATCTTGACTGCTATTGGGTTGGATCTTTAGACTTTAACTTTTTGGGAAATCAAAGGGTTTTCCACTAAACCCCAAAAAAGTTAAAGGTTTTGCAGGGGGGGTCAACAGCAACTAAGCTATGGTTACACCTGCCTTGGGTATGAGTCCCTGAGATGCCGAAAAGTGCTCGACCAGCGATGAAGAGTCGCTCTTCGAAGCCCTGGCCTAAGAGTCGAAGAGTTCTTGAGCAACGTCGTCGCGGATGGGGCCAAGAAGGGAAGAGCCTGGCAGCACCTGGATGGCTCTCTCTGTGCGTGTTTTCAGTTAAAAAGGGACCCTCCCAAAGAGAAACTAACACACATCCGGAGTGCCATCTCTTTGGGGTCCAACTGCGACTTTTGCAAAGTGGATCAGAATCCTGGCACTTGCGAGAATTCCTGTGAGGTCGGGTAGGCAGCTAGGCATCACCCAGGTCCCGGAGCTCCATGGTCCATGGGTCTTGGTCCCAAGTTTTGACCTTTGGGATGTGGACCCTCTGAAGAACTGCTTGGAACCCCAGCTTCCCATGTGAGGTGGGGAATCGAAACCCCCCTAGCCTGGAAGAGACACCCTTTGTTCCGCCAGCGATGGAGGTCCCCTGCATATGGGTTGGATCCATGGAGACACACAAAACCCTTTAGGGGAGGCCGAAACCGCCCGGTTGGACCGAGATGTTCTCGGACCTGCAGTTCTGGCGCTTGCAGCTCAGAGAGTTGCCAGCTACTCAGCTCTTGGGGCTATGCACACATGGGCGGTGTCCCTTTAACCCAGCCTGAAAAAAGGTACCCTCAAACGATGGTTCTCCTGTTGGGTCTGTGTATACCTGAAAAGGGGGCCGCCAACTCCAAAGTTCAGAAAGCACCCACAGCATCGAGCGCAGCTTCCCGAATTTCATCAAACCCACCGCCAGGCTGACGCCCTGGGTGCCACCTCAGGCGGAAGACTGGTCCTAGTCACAGTCCTCAGGGAGTGGGGGCTTTGAGGATTGGTGCCACAAGTGGAAATGCATTTCAACCACCCAGCACGCGCCCCAACCACTGCTTTTGGGGAAGCACTCGGGATTTTGGACAGGGGCAACAGGAGCTGCTGGGTGCTGGTCTGAGCCCCCTTTTGTGCTCCCTGGTTCTTTGCGAAAAGTCTCGGCCTGAACCGCGGATTCGGAACAGCTTTCGAGTCGACTGGGAAACGTGTACCAAAATTTGAGTCTGTCTTTTTTTGAGGGTACCCCCTTTTTGGTTGGTGTAAAGGGAAACCAAAAGGAAGCCACCCCCACCACGAAGCTGGGAGCCTGGATTTTGCATGTCCTTGCCAGCTCTTGGCCTCCCACGTGGCTTCGCGCTGCAAGCAGCTGGATGAGCAGCAGACGGCCTTGATCGAGGCCGTTCTTTGCGCTGTGCAGACACAGCCTTGGAACTTTTGACGTCTTGCGTTATTGACCCTCGGCGCCCCCCATCCTCCTTGAAGGTGGTAATCGCGATCCGAGATAAGGGGATGCCACCTTGTTTGTAATCACGTACGACAGGGTTACCTCCCCTTGTGTTGTCAGCGGGGTATAGCTTGACTGCCGTTGATTGAATTTCCTCGGGGATAGCGCATACTCATAATTGTCCTGCGGGGTGCCTGCGTCTCCCTTTTAAAGTCATGTTAGACCCTTCAGCGGACCAGCAGGAAAGTGTGTCCATGTGCTGGTTCTCGTGGATTCTGAGCAAGTGTCTGAAATACTGTGTGTCTGTGTGTTGCGTGGAGAATACCTGGACAAAACCTGGGTCTCCTGTTTAATTTTTGACCCATACTTAACTGGGACCCTTCTCACACTTTGAACGATACCCATCTTCATTTTTGCAAACTTACCCATACCCTACCCTTTTGCCAACGGTTTGATGGGTGTTCCCAGTGGGGCCATTCGTCATCAAATCTGCCTGTGAGTCTGTGTGCCTGGGTGCCTTGGTGTTTGCGTGTCTGCGTGTTTGTGTGTTTGCGTGTCTGTGTGTCTGTGTTTCTGTTTGTTTGAGGGTGGCCTTTTCAGGCAGGCCGAAAGATAAACCAAAAGGACAGCCACCATTTTGGGGGTTCCCCATTTTGACGTTTCCCCATTTTTGAAGACGGCTCAGACAAAAGAAAAAAGCCTTGCTCGGTGAGCCACAGGACAATCGCCGGAATTTGGCGGAGATCAACCGGCTGCGGCAAGCAGTCAGCCAGCTGCATTCCAAGTTGGAGGCGCACGGCGGCCTGCTTGCGGCTGTTTTGCTCCGCTTTTTCGACCTCCAAAGGTTGTCTTTCGTTTAGCTAGGTCCCCCAGTAGTGCCCTTTCTCACCTTTTTTGGGGGAGGGTTCTCCTACTAAAACAGACGACAGAAAAAATGAGGTACCCATATTCTAACCTCTCTGGAGGACCTCGTTGGAATCTATCACTTCTACTGGAGATTTTTTGTTTATATTTTTCCTAGCGACCTGAGCAAATGGAGGTCGCGGTTTGCCTGCAATCCAGTGACAGTCCAGTTTTCCAGAGGCCCAAGGAAACGGAGCGATGGAAAAAGCACCCAGCGGACCTTCGTGGCAGATGGGTTTGAGTGCGCGCGGGGAGTTTTCTGTTCGCTACCATTGGTTTCTATCGAGCTCGTTCGAGTTCTGGGCGGGTGTTTCTAGCGGCGTTTGGGCTTCAAGCTGCTTTTTTTGTGTGGTTTTTTTTATTGACAGGTGGCGGACGCGCGGTCCGTCCAGAGCAGCAAGAGCCAAGCCGAGGTGCTGGAAAAGCTCAGGAGATGGGAACCCACAATTCCTGATGGGGGAAGTGGGAATGAAGTTTTTGGGGTCCCCGAATACAGGTTATGCTTGCATTTGGAACCAACACATAGTGTGACCAACCTAGGGCTAGAATTGAAGGTCATGGTTTGATTGGATGCAACCTTCGATATTCCATCTCTCAAGATGCAAGCTGCTTTGCTTCCATGGGTAGGGGTAAACCATTGAAGCGCTTGACCGCGAGGAATCTACGCTGAGAACAAAATTGATTATTCACATATATGATATTGTATCTTTATGTTGTGTATATATATATATATGGCAATGAATTTTTTTGAGGGGTCTGCAACAGAGCCGCGGCGGACATTCGTTACAGACCTCGTTATAGACCTCTATAACAAAACTAATTGGTTCGTTACATACCCCTCGTTATACACCCCTCGTTACACACTCTCGTTATATGTCTTCGTTATACACCTTAGATGAATAAATTGGGTTAGTGATTTGATTACCTTATTTTTGCCGTAGTTTGGTTTGTGTTGAATAGTTGTAATTAGGCTGGAATTATGAAGACGTTTTGCATATTGTGTTTTGCTTTGCCTCGTTCTTAATGGTTTGAATGAAATTAGTCGATGGGGTTTTTATATACATTATAATAATTATTTTTTTGTTGGGATGGATATTTTGAAATTAATAATTTATGGTTTTTTTGTTTTTTTTAGATGATTGTTTTTTATTGATTAAATATTTGGGTTTTTAGAATTGGGTTTTTTATTTAATATTATATATAATCTTTTTAAATATTTTGTTTGGATAGGATTTAAGGTAAAGGTTTAAATTTATAATTATTTATTGTTTAATTGATTTTTGTTAAACACTTGATTGGTTTGCTTATTTTTGGGTTTTATAAATATAATTATATATATTTATTTATATTTATTAAATTGGAATATTTTATTTATTATATATTTTGATTTTATTATTTTATTGTTATGGGTTTTATTTCGCATATTGTTGGAAAGTAATGGATTTTTATTAGTATTTATTTAAATAAAAAATATTAAGGTAATTAAATAATATGTTATTTTAAATTTGTAATAAATATTAATTGAAATTATTAATTATATATATATATATATTTAATTTATTTGATAATATTAAATTTAATTTATTAATGCTTTGTCGAAGATATTCTTTTATAAAGGAGTTTTTAAGAAATATATGCCCGTATACTCTGTTGGCTATACTAGATGTTTATGCTTAAATCTCGAAACTTGGGACGAATTACAAAATAAAAATCCTAATTAGGATATTATTTCGGTATATAAAATTAATTGGAAATTATTTTATATTATTATTTTTGTATATGAAACATATTGGAAATTAGGTGTTATATATAGATTTTAAATTATGCTAAAAGGCTCCGGCCACAAAAAATATTTGAAGAGAATATAATCTTTTAGCAAAATGTACGATAAAGCACTATCTTTTAGGTTAAAATCACGTTATAAGTGCTTAAAATTGGAAGGTTTTAGGTTGTTTTAGATATCTCTAGTTATATAGGATGGGCTTTATATTAACAAACAATTAATGTAATATGGGTTGCTTTGCTTATTTTTCAACATTTAAACATTGTTTAATATCGATAATTGAAAAATATCTCTCCCGATTTTTTGCAAACAAACACAAACCAAATATCCAAATATCCAACCCACCAACTAATTAGGAATAGCCCATAGACATTACAAATTAGAGTGTTTTAGACCTATTTAGACATTTTTCTATATATAAGATAGGTTTTGTCAAATAAAGGTCGGCATGGCAAAAGCTCTAATGGCCTCCATGGAACAGGCAAAACCTGATCAATTAGTAATATGGTTTCAGATTGCTTCAGATTGGCTATGGGAAGCATGTTTAGAAAAAAATATTAATAGTAGTAGTAATAACAGTAACAGTAGTAATAGTAATAGTAATAAAAGCAATAGTAATAATAATAGTAGTAATGGTGATAATAGTAATATTAATAATAATAATATAAATAATAATAATAGAAATATTAATAGTAATAGTAATATTATTAATGATAATACTAAATAATAATAATATTCATTATAATAATAATAGTAAACAAATTTATTAATAATCATGGATATATAAATCCCAAATCTTATGCCACCTGGACATATATATCTCGTCTAGAAGATATATATATATATGTATTTGTGAATATCTATATTTGTGTTTAAATTAGTTATTGAAATTTTGTTTAGAATACGGCCTTATAAAACAACTTACGCTCGAAACCTATTAATCTTATTAACTAATATATTAAAATAATAAAAATATTATTAATATTATTAATTTGTCATAAATCCAATCATTATTTTTCGTGCCTCAATACGCGGTATCGCCGTCACGAAATCGTCGCACAAACAATCGCCGAGCGCGCGATCAAAACATTATAACAATATAAGAATAACAATATCAAACAAATATAATATATAGAATTACTATATTATATAATATATTAAAATTATGAATTAAAAATCATAATTTATTTATAACAAATAATCTAGGATATATTTAAGGTTAATTTAGAATTAATTCATAATATTTAAAAAACACATAATTTAAAATTAATTTAGGTTTAAAATATATTATTTAAAAATTAATTTAAGATATATATTTAATTTATAATTTAAAATTTGGTTTAAAATAATTTTAACATTACTTTATAATAAATTTATAATTTCCCCCCAAAAAAACAAATTATAAATATAAAAAATCATTATAAAAATAAAACCGTAAATGCCAAAATATAAAGACTCAAAAATATCTTTTAAACAAAATAAGTACAACCTTAAAAACCCATCTCATCTAATAAATAAAAAAATAAAAAATATAACAACGATATACAAAATCATATATATGTATCAAATAATCAAATATAAAAAACCTTAAATAATATAAATTAAACAATTACATATTATATATACCTATATTAAATTAATAATATACATTAAAATCATTAATTTTCACTAATATTATTTTCATTCTTATTTTAATTAAATAAATATCAAAAAATAAATAAAAATATATTCTATTCAATATATTCAACAATAATTAATAATTATTCTTTATTAATTATACATACAAATATATTTCCCCAAAAACAAATTATATCAATAGACCACCAATTTATACATTCTCTAAATATAAATATCAAACACTAACACCAATTCAACCATTTAATAATTTACAACCATTTTTTTTTAATTATATATTACCACATGTATATATATATAGTATTGACATATCATTGTTTTCGTTAACTACATATGTTTTGTGCCACTCAGATTCATCGCCGGTGGGAGCTACGTGAAAAGGAACGCGCAATGCATCACTTCATACCAAACAAAACAAGGACAGCACTCGCGCGCTTTTCCAAAGCTTCCCGTCAGCCAGCTACTGCTGGGTGTGCCAGCTTTGCATTGACAAATGCGCCGCAGTCAAAACGCAACCGTGACAAAAGTAGGGCAGTCCAGAAACTAGACAAACAAGTTTTGACCGTCGCGCGCGGTAGCAGGCCCGCAATAGGACTCAGCAACCAGTCTCAGTTTCCTGGCTAGCACCGGACAGTCACCGTTGTTGTTGAACATGCGATTCAGCGATCGATCAACTTATCTTCCCCCGCTTTCTAGGCATTGCGGAGGCTTATTGTGATTTTCACAAACGGCGAAAACAGGCGATTTGTTTTGGGCCCACGCTATGATACTTTCTCAAAAACTAACGCTTTCGCAACATGGCAGCGCGTCCAATCAGCGAAGAAAAGCGACTCTTGCGGCTATGTCCCGATGCCTCTGAGACTGGGACAGCCCCACTCTTTGGGAACAAGGCCCGCTTTTTGTGGGCCTTCTGGGTATGTCAAAAAATTTGGGAACCCCTTTTTGGGGGTGGCTTCCTTTTGCTTTCCCTTTAAACCAACCTTGCAAAGGGCACCCTCCAAACACACACACACGAGCACACAAACACACACACACACACATAAACATACACACACACACAAACACTTACAAACACACGCACACCCACACACACCCACGCACTGCTATCGGCCCCAGCCTCTTCGCTACTGGAGTCCGCGGCCTTCACGATCTTGGCATCCCACTGGAGTGCAGCGGCGCAGGGTGTTGTGCCGCGGTGGCGTCGTTTTGTCGCGTGTTGGGTGTGTCGCTTTTCTCGGTTGCTTTCTGCTCCCCTGCTAAAAGTTTACCTTTTAGTGGTTTAATGGAAAACCCATGAGTTGGCAAAAAGTTGAAGTCCTAACATCCAAGCAAACTGCACCTCTGTTTTAAGGGTCTAGGTGAATTATTATATTTCCTGGGTCGTTAGGTCGAATTCTTTGTTTCAAGGTGGAATTCACGGTGAGGTCGAGTGAGCTCGCTAGAATTCACGCAGAAGGGTACCTTTCCGATCGAGTGGAAGGGCCAACAAAAAAGGCTCCCAGACACTTTTTAGGAGTGGTGCCCTGCTGAGCACTTCTGAAGGAGACTTAATCGTTATGGTTTCAATCATGCTTTCCACTTTGTGGTTGGCACTAAAATGTTCTACACCCAAACAAGGGAATAAAGTCCAGGAACAAGGGACTAAATTCCCGGAGCTCGGGGAGCGAGTTTGTGGGTTTAAAGTGAAACCTATTTAGCCCACTGGGCTTGAATTTCAATTGGAGACACCAAGGACCCCAGTTACAGTACATCTATGTCCAGCAACTATTTTAGAGGCAAAAGCCATAGCCACGCTAGCAATTCATTGACCAAGTTTTCGGCTACCAAATCGGGTACCTGCTTTGGGGCTTACAAAACCAAAAGCTAGTCTTGGCCTACATCTGGGGGAATTACGCAGAAAATCATACTTTCAGATTCTGTTCCATATCCAAGCCAGAGCAATTCAAAACACCCGCATTTTGCGTCACAGCTCCGGCAACCAAAGGACCCAGGCCAAAGGAAGCGCCACACCCCTATCGTGACCCCCCCCCCAAATTAGCTTGTTCCTTAAAAAGGGCATCCTCCTTGAAACAAACATACCCATTTCGCAGAAGCTTTAATCTGTAACTGTTCGGGAACATGGTGTGCAAATTGGGATCTTGGACCTCAGAAATTGTGGCCTTCCTTGTTGGTATCCGTTTAACTGGAGTCTCCTCAAAACCAGGTATGTTTTGGGGAAGCCCAAATGTGAAAAATACTCAAAACCTCTTCGT